TTTGGGGATAATAATAAAGATTAAGATCCGATTTTGTTACATGAAAATATTCAAATTTTTCAAAAAAAAGGTGGGGATGGCTGTTCTATTTATATATCTTGGGTTTAATAAAATAGACTACTGTCTTGGCCCGAGTGATGTCATTTTCTATGAAGAAGATGCAATCCCAAACCTGACTTAAAATAAATGAATTTTTGTTCTCACATAACATGGTGCATTGCGTTCTCAGTTGTGAGCTTGTTTTAAATGATCAACATTATGAAATTTTATAAGGTTTATGCAGATCTTTTTGGTTGAATTTTTAAGAAAGAGTCAGTACACAAAATTTTTTATGGTGAATATTGGTAGATTTCGGACAGCTTTGAAAGGCAGTTTAAGACATATTTTAAATAATTCTTCTAAGTGAATGTTCTGTAAACATGTCCTAGCCATAAAAGAAAAAATGTCTTTGCACAAAAAGGTAAATAAAATGCATATATTTTAATAATAATATAATTATATTGTTCTACAAATATTTCTTATGTCTCACTCAACATTATTAGAAGATGAATTCTGTAAATAAAGCTCTGAATGAGCTGTGCCCCGAAACTTAATACTATTTTTTTATAAACTAACAATTTTGGAGACCATTGAAAATAAAGCAATAATATGCTTGAATTTTAAAACTTTTATGACAGCTAAAAATTCTGAAAATTCAAGAACAATTCTGTGTATTAATATCTGTTTCCAATAAAAATTGTCTTTTAGGAATATATCAAAATTACTAAACATGTTTTCAATGAATGAATAGGACACCAGGTAATTATAAATGAACTATCATCCCACAGCAAAAATCAACTAAATTTGTCATCCTGGGCCCATTTTAAAAGCTATGGACATGAAATTTTGTCAGAACATCTAGTTTTTTATCCTAAATTTAGACAAATGTGTTGCTGCCAAATCATCTTGAACATAGTAAAATACATGTACTAAAAAGGAATAGAACTCAATAAATAAATAACCAATCAATAAATATTTTGAAAAAATCTCTCTGGTTATGATAAAGTTTGGGTCAATAACACAGTAACAGAGTTATTTTTTAAAAAGGATCGACAGAAATGGGCTTCTATTTTTTTTTAATAATCACGTGCAAAAATGGTGGTCATAGACTTCACCATATTTGTGTTTATCAATTTATACTGATGTGTAACACCCCAACGTGCGTGGTATCCCACCAAGGAATGTGATCAGCAGCAGATACCATATATATAACCAATCAATATTAGTTTTGATTTTCTTAGAATGTCGCGCACCCCATTGTACAATAATGATAAACCAATCGTGTAACAGAAATAACTTCTTCCACAAAGTATCATTTGACCAAATAAATAAAACTCAATTATTTTTATCATTTAAACAAATTCCTTTTTGAATAATAAATTATCATTTGATAGATAGTATACCTGTTTTAAAAGGTAACTTGACCTTTTATTGACTCATTCTTTTATTGTAATTGTTTGTTTCGTTTTTTTTTTAATAGATATTTTTATTTATTGGACAGGAAATTTTTTATTTTTTAAAAAAAAACAGAATATATTTGCAACATTAAATAGTTTTTTTTAAAAAATTTCCCACTTTCTTTTTATTGTATTTGGTATATAATTATTAATCTCAACATAGAAAAATACCATGTCACTCTTTACTAAATATTCTCCATGACTCCTAAAACACGGTCACTTATTAATAACAAGAGTCCCATTGATATCGAACCCTATAAAAGTAAATTTTTTACAAGTGTCTATAGTTCCGAAGAATCTTCAATAGAAGGTTTAAAACAAAAAAGTATTAATGAAACTACTACAGAAGATGAAAGTGAGGAAGAATTAAAACTAAGTTCAAGAGGTCTTGTTCAAATTGTAGGTTCATTGGATATATCGTTGTTGGATAATGACGCTCCTTTATTATTCAATAATCAAGTCGATGAATTTGACGGTGTTGTGTTTCTTTAATTACTATGTTATTTTTACACACGCGTGTATTTTTTATCAATTACTAAGTATTTATTTATTTTATATCGTAGTTGCTTTAGATCCTCCCTCTAACTCGCTACAATTAACAACACGTAACGTTCGTAAATATGATGATCCATCGGAAAATAAAAGACGTCAAGGTATTATATATTTTATAATGATTATTTTATTTTTATTTTAATAAAAAATTAAATCGCTCAACAAAATAAAAAACGCGGTAAATTTAAAATAATAGGAAGACTGCTATTGGTATCATTACTAGAAAACTTTTGTTTATTATATGATACAAATCCAGAAAGAAATCATGAACTATTTTATCTTATATGTAAAAATTTAAGTACTATGGGTATAATTGAAGAAGAGGTTAGTAAAATATACGACATTTTATTTAAAAAAAGAAATTTTTGTTTTATATATATAAATATAAGAAGATGCCAGTATTCTCATTATAGTTTTAAAAAAATGAATTATGTCATGTTTAACACCTTATTAAATTCCTGAAGCACATTGATGAGATGTCTACCGTCCGCTCCTCTTATCAACGTGCTTTCAAAGCTTTGGTCATACAAGCTCTTAATTCAATTAAACAAGAACGTTTAATGAAGGAATCTCGTTTACTTATGCCTTCTTGTCCAGAAACTGATTTAGATAAGCCCGATAAACATTCTCCTCATGATAATAAACTTCCGTATGTATTTTGTGATAAATTATGATATTTAGATAATGATAATATTATATCAATGCATTTACAATATTTTAATTTGCCAAATTTACTTTCTTTTTTTAATATCCTTCACCCCAAAATTAGTTATTCTGCAAAAACAAAAAAAGATAACTCAAACTCAAAAGTTTTAAAAAATCTTTCGTTCGGTGATATTTTGGACCTTGAGAATAGTCGTTACTCCAATGATTTCATTGAACTTAAATTATTAGGTAAAGGTGGATTTGCAAGTGTTTGGAAGGTAATAATAATAATAATAATAATAATAATTTCTTTTTAAAAAAAAAGAGATTTTTTTAATTGGTTCAATATTTCGATATACATATAGGCTAAAAATAAATTAGATGGTAGAGAATATGCCATTAAAAAAATCAGATTAAGAGGTGATAAAATTCCTGAAGAAAAAGAAAAGGTGATGCCTTTTTCTTTTATAAAACAATATCAAAATAATAATAATAATAATAAGTATTATTTATTATCATCATAAAATATTGTAGATATTTCGTGAGATTAAAATCCTTGCAAGATTAGAACATACAAATGTTGTGCGTTATTATAGTTCATGGCTCGAACATATCAGTAGTAAACAACGTAGTAACGAAGATGAGACATCATTATTGTTAAATTCCGAAGAAAATTCTTCGCGTGTTGAAAGTTCAAATGGATATCATTCTGATAACGAGTCTAGTATCAATTCAAACCAAGATAGTTCTGATATTTTTAGAATGTCTTTTTCTGATGATGATGGAATTGATTTTGTTGATGATATTTCTGCGGCTGGAAAATTAAATAGTGATTTTAATAACACTCCTACTCACACCACCAACACCAACTATATTTATAATAAAAAAAATAATAACAGACTTTCCCAAAACTATGATACTTTTAAAGCCGATAAAATAAGCCATTCTCATATTCCCAAAGATGTTGAATCTTTGAATCTTGAGAAAGATTGGGTGCTTTTCATTCAAATGCAGTTATGTAATAGTACATTGCGCGATTATTTAAAAAAACGTGATGCCAATATATTGGCGCCAACAACTGATCTGTTAAGCTCCGTTGATCATAACATCATAATCGATTTATTTAGAGGCATAGTACGTGGGGTTGCATACATTCACGATCAAGGGTTGATTCATCGAGATCTCAAACCCGGAAACATATTTATTGGTGGCCTTGCAGATGGTGGGCAAGATAATTTGGTTGTTGCCAATAATTTATTATCTTTTTCTAATGAACGAGTAGTGCCAAAAATCGGCGATTTTGGATTAGTAACTGCAGTAGATGGCGATCACACCTACTCAACAATTGATAATTCAATAAACAGAGGATTAAAAGGATGCGTAGAAAGTGATCATGGTTTAAAAATTAATAACAAAAGTAACTACAACAATAATAATAGCCAAACAAAATCAGCTTATTCTTCTTCTTATTCTTCAAAATCTAGAACTACTGGTGTTGGCACTATAACTGTAAATTAAATTTCATTTATATATATATATTTTTATTATATTCTTATTTTGAAATTTTAAAACTTTATTACTATTATTAATAGTACGCTTCACCTGAACAACTTGCAAGGCCCCCACAACCTTACAATGAAAAGGTTGACATCTATTCATTAGGAATCATATTCTTTGAATTGCATTTTTCATTTTCCACAGGGCATGAACGTGCTCAAGTTATTAAAAATCTAAGAAATGGAATATTACCTAAAGGGTTTGTTAAAAGATTTCCAAAAGAGGTTCATATACATATTTATTATTGTTATTTTGTTTTTATTATATTGTATATTTTTTAAAAATGTTTATTTATAGGCAGCATTCATTTTATGGATGATGGCAGAAGATCCCGATAAGAGACCAAGTGCAAAACAAATTCTAGATTTTGAATTATTGTCAGATTCAAATCAAGTAGTTAATTAATTAATAATAATAATAATTACAATAATTTATGATCATCATTTATTCCTCTAATTTAAATTACTATTTTTTTTAATTTAGGAAGAGCATTCTAAAATACAACTTAGACTTGTTGAAAGTACACATAAATTAGAAATGGTAACACAAGAAAATGAAATTTTAAAGAAAAAAGTTGCAGAATTAGAAGAAAAATTAAAAAAATATGAAAATCTCATTACTTATAATACAAAAGGGGCTTCATAGTAAAAAAACGCTTTCATACACAACCACAACGTATAGAAGAATCGATTTTTTGAAAGTACGAGGTAATCAAAATATATTTAATTTTCCTGGTCTTGCTTTATTTTTTATTTTATAAGGTCCCATACATGCCTATGATTTATAAATAAAATTTACAAATGTATAGAATGAATAAATTAAATTTTTTTTTTTATTTATTTAAAAAAAAAATCCCGATTTTCTTTTTATAAATTATTATAAGGAAACCGTTAATAATAAAATAAAAGATACATATATAAAAACCTACTTAAAAGTTTTTTATCTAGTTGGTGATTTTTGAACACGTATTATAATTTCTTTACTACTTCTTAAAACTCTTCTTCTTGTTTTGAAAATTGGTTGATCACCTTCTTGATTATCAGCATCTTGATGTCCATTTGAATTATTTTCATTGTTTCGGTTATCATCACCTGTTTTAACTTCTGGTTTTGAATCATCATCAATAGAATTCATTGTTTTACGTTTAGTAGTTCCTTTATAATTACTGTTTTTACTAATATCATTATTACAATTACTATTGTCACTTTCATCATTGTTATTATCTTGAAATGTTGATGATCTATTATTGTCATAATCATTCTTTACTTTATCCTTTGATTTTTTGCTTACATTATATTTATAATCATCATCATCTCTTTTATTTCTTTTATTTTTATTATTTGGCATTGTTGGTGATTCCACGGTATCATCATCGCTTATATCCATTTTTTCTTCTGTTTCTTGGTTTTCTTCAGAATTTTCTGATACCATTTCTTCATTATCATCATCAATATCCATAACATCAAAATCATCATCATCAAACATATCATCAAACTGAATCACCTCACTCTCACTATCAAAATTATTTCGACTATAATCACCATTTATTACAGCCCGGCCCCAATGCTCTCTGTCAACCTCACCACCATAATATACAAAAAGCTCTTCTCCTTTTTTAATTTCACGTTTTGTCAAACATATAACTTGGTTGACAGTGCTTCCTTCAATAAACACCATATTACCAAATGGATCTTCATTCATAAAATGGAAAGGACAAAAAATTTTTCCTTGTGGATTAGTGAATGGCTCGCCATTATCATCAGTTGCATCAAGTATTGTCTTCTTATATCTCATTGAATAATGTGATGATCTGCCTACTTCGTCTTTATGTTGATCAAATTCGTCTTCACTCATTGGAATACCAAAATAAAATCCTAAAGGTGTTGATGTTGGAAGATTTCTTTTGGCAAATAATCCATTACCAGCATTTAAAATGGTAGACTCTTTAACTTCAACCACATCAGATAAACTTTTTGGTACATTAGTCAGGTCCAATCCACTCATGAGTTCCTCATCCGTAGCAGCAGGAATTTTTTCAATGTCAAGCGAATCCTCATCATTGTCATAAATACTTTTTGATGTTCTGGTTTGGTGCTTTTTGTTTGAAGTATTTTGTTTGAGTTTGGTAATAGTATGATGAGAATGCTCAACTTTTCGTAATGGATATATGCACAAAGTTCTTTTTGCCCGGCATTTTGAGCATAATGGCAATTTAGCATCACAAACTGTATCTGCTGGACATTGTCGACATCTCAAATTTGTTTGTGTGGCTGCTCCCACACTCAGCATAATAACACATCCACTATTTACTAATGCAGAACCTTGTTTGGTTTTTTTTAATTTACCAAAACATAAAGGCCAATCATGTCGTATCAATTCTTCCATCCAATTATTATATTTATTAACAGCTTCTTCAACATCATTGGGTATGAATGCTAATTTATAATATATATCTTTTGAATGAGGAATAGTAAATTCTTTAAAATATTTTTCTGAATTGTGTGTCAAACAAGCACTAACTGAAACTTTTGGCGCCTAACAAATATATATTTGAAAAAAGTGTTAATATAATCAATATGAAATAATGCTGTCATCCAATAAAAAATCAATTATAAATGCGTGATAAATCACCTGACCACCAAAAACTCTTGGTAGTCCTGTTTCGGCACTTAACCTTTCATCTAAAGCAATTGATGCATCAATCAACTCATTATGCGACATTGAATAATTTGGAGCATTTTGTAAAATTTTAAGAATCAATTGTTGTTGGTTATGCCAGCGAGGTCTTTGTAATGATTTTTTATTGTTTTTTTGACAAGTCCTTTGTATATCACAATTTAAATTTCTTTTTGAGCTGTGAAATAATGTCAATGGTACACATTTTGGAATATAGTCCTTCAAAAAATTTTCACTAAAAACTTTTTGTTGATAAGGCACATTTATTTGTATTAAATCTTTTAATTTGTATCCTGACTCGACAGTGATTTTTTGCAGACACATAAAAAATTGATCCATTCCAGTTTTTTGATTGTTGTCAAGACTTTTTACAAACTTTACGACATCTTTTAAGAATGGATATAATACGTATACATTCCTTTCAAAATTGTAGCTGGCCAAACAGCTATTTAAGAAATTTGAAAGAACATCGCATGCATCTATCCAATCATTATGTGACTGCGTTAAAATTGATTTTGCTATTTTCATAAAATTTGGATCAACATTAATACTTGAAGGCTTTCCATTAAGAGTGTTATTTGGTAATAATATTGAGACTAAAACTGCACTGATCCTATTAATTGTTTCCCCAGATGCATGTTCAGGATGAGGTGTTATACTAAGTATTTTCTCGATTAATTTTATTCGACTTGCAACATTCATCTGATTTAAATTTGATATTGCAGTAGCAAATGTGTTTAGTGGAAGTGTTGATAATGCATTTATAGAAATTTCTTTAATGATTTCTCCCCAGGCTTGTTCATAACTCAATCCTTTATCTATTTTTTCAGCAATCCGTGGCTCCAACCATTTTTGCAACATCTGTGACATTTCAACTTTTACTTGAAAAGCATTTACCATTTTTTTTTAAATAAAATTAAAAAATAATTATACACAAATTGTATTTTTATACTGTAAAGATGGGGAAAAAGAGTAATTTTTGATTAAAAACTCATTTGTTTGTTACTATTCACATTTGATTTTAGCCTTTTAAAGAAAGTAATACAGAAAATTATAAATAAAATTTGATTGGATCGAATCCATCAAATCTATCAATCAAATAAATACTTTAAAATGGTTAAAGAACTTGAAATATCAAACAATGAAAGACAATTTATACTAAAAGCTATAATAGAAGGTTATCGAATTGACAATCGAAAGAAATCTGACTTTAGAAAATTAAACATATCATTTGGTCAAGAATTTGGTAAAAGCGAGGTCACATTAGGATCTACTAGGTATTTGTATAAACATATAAAGGCATATAGAAAAAAATTTTTTTTATTTAAGAGTTTTTATATTATATGGTTAGAGTACTGGCAAAAGTCTCATGTCAAGTAACACGACCATACCAGGATCGACCTAGTGAAGGTATATTGATTTTAAATAGTGAATTATCACAAATGGCTTTTCCTAATTTTGAAATTGGAAGGTAGGTTAAGTTTTTGTTTTTGTTTTTTAACAAGTTTTTTTTTAAAAAAATACCATCTCTTTATTGTAATAATAGACCTGAGGAAGTTCTTGTGAATCGTATATTGGAAAAGGCTATAAAAAGAAGTAGAGCTATTGATACTGAAGGGTTGTGTATTTTAGCTGGAGAGAAAGCAAGTTGATTTTTTTTAATAAAATAAAAGATCAAATTAGATTTAATCATTTAATATATAAAGGATAATTTTTTTGATGCGATCAGGTATGGACAATACGAGTTGATATACATTTTATTGATAATGATGGAAATATAATTGATGCAGCATGTATTGCTGCAATATCAGCACTTTCACACTTTCGAAGACCTGATGTTACTGTTATTGGACAAGATGTTACAATAGTGAGTATTTTCTCTACATATTATATTTTTTCTATTAGTTATATATATATAATAATAACTATAATACTTTATAGCATCCCATTGAGAAAAGGAATCCTGTTCCATTAAGTGTGCATCACATGCCAATATGTGTGACATTTGCTTTTTTTGAAAATGGGTAATAATTATTTATTTTATAAAACATATAATTGAAATTTTGAAATTTTTCAAGGAGACTCTTTAATTATTAATATATCATGTATACATATACATATTATCTCTAAAGTGAACATTTTGTGGTAGATCCTACACTTCAAGAAGAACAAACCAAATCAGGTGATATGACTATTACATTAAATGATCATAAAGAAATCTTTGCACTGTCAAAAGCAGGTGGTGTAGCATTGGAAATAGAAACAATTAAATATTGCACAAAGATTGCAACTACAAAAGTAAATTGGCTTGCAGAACAAATTAAATTAGCATTGGAAAAAGACAATGAAAAAAGGTAAATCTTTTATACTTTTTTTTTTAAAAAAAAAATTTAATTGTTTTAAATAAACAAATATATACATATAGAGCTACAAAAAATGTATATTAATTATGGGAATATTAGTAAGTTTTTTCTAATTCAAATATATATGTGTGTGTGGCTGAGGATTAATAAAGTATTGGAAAAATTTGTTTTATTATTATTATTTTATGATAAAGATACATAATTAATTTGCTCCACAAGAAAACCAGGATAACCCAAGTTATTGTTATTTTTATATTAGCAGCTGCAAATTTGTTACATGATTTCAAATGAATTTTAAATCATTATGTTTTAGTTTTTTATAGATTGTACAATCATGTAACATAGCCAGAATTGACAAATTTTTGGTATGTGCATGATAATTTGAGCCAAAATTATATGTTTCCAATTTGAAAAATTTTATATGTAAACAGCTAGTGTCGTAATGATGTGGTTATGGCTGCTTGCAAAAACTCCTTTAGAAATCAATTGGCAGAGTTCCAGCAGGTTACAAGCTAATTGTTAGAGTTTTGCATTTGGAGTTTTTGGCAATTGGTAGAGTTTCAGTAGTCAAGAAGTTTCAGCAAGCAACTTTAGATGTGATCTGCAGATATCCATCATCTGTTCATTCATTACCTCTAAAAATTAATCTGTTCCATCAGATTCAGTAGATAACCATAGAATCTGCTGAACAGATGACCTGGATTATATATGGGATGGTGGTAATTGTTTAATTTCCATAAATATTTAATACATTATTATCATATTAATTACCACTTTCCCTCTTTAAAAACATAATTATGAAATTAATTATGTATTATGGGCAATGAAATTAATTACAGGTGATGAAACTAATTACAGATAGAATTTCTGATCAAAAAAATAAAATTGATACACAGTGAATCTCGATTTAGCGGATATGTTTGTTCCAGAAAAATTATCCGCTAAATCGAGATATCCGCAAAAGCAAGATATCTATAATTAAATCACGTGATATCCGTTATAAAAAATTTTATATTATACCGATACATGGTAAAATTTAATATATAAAATATACATGATAAAAATAATAATAAAAAACAAAAATATTTTATTCTATCATATAATCTTCTATTCTTGTTTGTACCCTGTCTTGAAAACTTTTATAAGAAATTTCTCTTTTTAACTTATTGACATTTCTAATTACTTGAAAATCAATTTCTAAATTTTTTTGTTGTACATATTTGAGCGCCACTTCCAAACCTTTTATGGCTTCTGTATCAGTAACTATTTGTTCAGGCTCGTTTGTTTCATTGTCATCTTCATTGTCATCATTTTCTGATTGTTGTTTTACAATATTCACAATCTCTTCTACTGTCATTTCTTCTTGAACAACAAGATTTTGATCAATTGTAATAAATTCATTAGCCTCTAGAGGATTTGTAGGGTGAAGTACATTAATCAAATCATTTATTTCATTTATTTCTGATTGTTGGTTTGGATCTTCTTCGGCTATTAAATCAGTTGAACTTTGATTATTAATGATTTTAGTCTTTTTCCAGCTACTTTTAATCGTTTCAACTGTTACTTGATCCCAAGCATTAGATACAAAGTTAATTGCATCAAAAATATTGATTTCAGGTACTCGATCATTATTATCTGCTTCTTGGTAAGCCTTAATTCTGTTTTGACAAAGAATTTTTCTATATTTTGACTGTAAAGAATTTGAAAATTAATTTACATTAAAATAAAATAACATTAAGAGGTTGGCTTAATTACCTTTAAACTATAGATTATCCCTTGATCTAAAGGTTGTAAAATAGATGTGGTATTAGGAGGAAAAAAATGAACTTTTATATTTGATAAAGTAGGCACATTTTCGGCATTGTGAGAACTTGCATTATCTAAAAGTAAGATTATTTTTTTATTCTCTCGAATCATCTTATTATTAAATCTTTCTAAATAATGTTTGAAAATGCTTCTTTGCATCCATGCCTTAGCATTCCAATAATACCATACTGGAAGTGTATTTTTAGCAATGCCTTTCAAAGGTCTCGGATTTTCGAATTTATGAATAAAAAGCACAGGAAGCTTTTCTCCAGTCAAACTGCAAGTAAGCATAGCAGTTATACGATCTTTAGGACGTTTTTTTCCTAAAGTTGGTGCATGGGAAATTGTTCTATTAGGCTCTAGCCTCCAGTATAAAGCAGTCTCATCACAATTCCATATGTCTTCTGGATTATACTCTCGTAGGACTTCTTGAAGTTGGTTTTGCATGTCAGCAATCTCATTGATCGGAGCACTCAGTGATTCACCTCTTTTTTTGTAACTATGCAAATTATTTCTGTTTTTAAAATTGCCTAACCACCCCAAAGATGCATTGAAATTATCAATTTCAAAAAGACGTGCAAATTCTTTTGCTTTTTCTTGGATAATAGGTCCACTTAATGTTAAATTTCTAGCCAAAAGTTGATCAATCCAGATTCTTGTTGCTTCTTCAATATCAGGGTAATCAGATTTTTTATTTCTATATAAATTATGACTTGAACTTTCATCATAATTTAACCATTGGGAAGATTGTCTCAATATATCAGAAACAGATTGTACAGATATTCCATATTCTTGGGCCAATTCAACACCTTTAATATTCGGGTAATCTTTTTTTTTTTCACACAGTTCTTTTTTTTGTACTTTAGTCAATATTTTTCTTTTCTATATATACGATTTTAAAAAAACATTTAATTAATTCAATTAATTTATTTTAACAAAATAATTAATCAATCTAATTACTTTAGGACATTGATTTGGATTTTCTTCTCTGCTTGATTGTGAAGACATTTTTTCAATTTTATTAAAAATATCAAATATCAAATATTTTTATTTTATTATTATTAGAAACGATGGGACTACATCTCTTTATATAAGTAATTTATTTTTTACTATTACAAATCATTTTTATTTCTGACGCCCATATTACATCAGAAAAAATTTTCTGATGACGTTTTATTACAATTCTACCAATCTGTTTGGTTGTAGTTGTAGTTGTGAAGACATTCATTGGAAAACTGACATCATATATATATTACATCAGAGGAAGTTTCCTAGTCATGTTTTATTAAATTTATTTATTTAATCTTAGGCTGATTTGATTTGTTTGGTCATGATGACATTCCCAGTTTATTATTACAAATCATCAAAAAACTGATGTCATACATATTACATCAGAAAAAATTTCTTATATCATAAATTTTATCATCTTTTTATTTTTATTTTTACAATTACCATACATTGTTTGATTGTTTTATCATGCTTTGTTATGTTTAATAATATATTATTTATCGCGTTCATTATTTACCGCGTTATTTTTAAAAATTTATACTATTACTATATAGTTCAAAATAGCAATGATCGTCATTATCCGTTATATCGAGATAAATTTATTATGAATGGATATATAAATTTTTAAAAAAAAATCCGCTAAATCGAATATATATGAAAAATCCGTTAAATCCGTTAAATCAAGATAAAATAATTATAGACGGATTGGGCCTTGAAAATTTATCCGTTAAACCCTTAAATCCGCTAAATCGAGATCCGCTAAATCGAGATTCACTGTGTACAACAGACTTTAAAACCAAAAAAGAACGAAAAAGCATGATCAAACATCCTTCGTGTTTCTATGTAAACATATTTTTATAGTTTCACTCTTTCAAACGCAATCTTTTATACTTCATTAGCTTTTTTCATTCAAGAGAAATAATTATTCGAAAAGGCACATACTTTTTGCCTTTGGAACCACCATCCTTTTCAGGGAGAAGACTCATTGAGATCTTTTTAACATTAACAGGTAGAGTATAATATTAGCTTTTGAAAAATATATATTTATTAGGCATTTTATTTTTTGGGGAAGAAATTAAAAGCAAAAAACAATATACATTATTATTTATTAATTTTATTTAAATATTTATGATTCTCTGGCATTTTTAGATTTTCTTTTAACGTGGTAATACCAGTAGTCTCTTACTCTTTTGTTAGTCCATGAACCATTTACTTTAACCAATTCTTCATTTATTCTCATACAAACTTCTTTTGGCAAATCTGTGTAATTAAGAAGCTCCTGAAGAATTATTTGTTCTTCTGTATATTTTTGGCTTTTAGGAAGTGGAGATCTTACCTCTTGTACTTTTCCATTACTTGCTGCAGATATTGTCTCTTCTATTACAGCTGGTAAGTCATCATTTATTTGTTCTGTCTCATCATTGTTAATTTGATTTTGTTCTTTATCATATTCCTTTTGCTCACTTACTTTAATATGAGGTAGATTTTTTTTTCAAATCCATTTGTTCTTAGATTTAATAAACAATTTTACAGTGGATTTATTGTTATGAATTATAATTATGGAATTATGATATGGGTTATGGAATTAAAATACAGATAATAATTATAAAATTAAATGATCAATGGG